TTAAATCAGGCTACCCTCGGCAAAAGCAAATTATAAGGGGCTTCGATATATTCAGCCCTCGAATAACACGAAGGCTTCGATAATATCAGCCTTCGAAAAAACCTCAAGAGGTATTCGGTTAACATTGCATATCAAATTACAAACAAGGTTCCAATTAATCGAACCTTCGAAAAACCCAAACGGGTACAAAAAACACATGCTAAGGCATACAAAATCTTCACTAAGTCTTTTAGCCGAAAAGAGGAAAAAGTTTATAGCCATTTTAGAGGCCGAGTTGGCCCCACCTATAGAGTCTAAGGGCCAACCTAAAAGAGCCTAAGGGACAATTTTAAAGAGCTTTAAGGCCGAAGCACACCATGCTCAAAAACCTTACCTAGCTCGGACTCAAAAGTCCCGAGCTAAAACTTAGCCGAAGATCGAACTTTAAGGGGTAACTTATTTTCGATCGTCGATCAAAATACAAAATTTAAGGTCTACTCTACCCCGAATTTGATTCAACGCGCAGAGAGTAAGACATCAAAAAATAAACAAATGCTGAAGAAAAATTGAAGGCAAACGATCGAAGAAACTCTTTTTTATATATGCAAAAATATATTACACAGGAGTCCTACAGAACAAAAAAAATTACAAAAAGATAGAAAAAATTCTACTCCAGAGGGGCATTCCCCCCCGGACCTGTCGCTTCCTCGGGACCAGCCTCTTCCCCCGGGGTAACTTCTTCGGCAGCCCCCTCCTCTTCATCACTTTCGACGTCATCATCATCATTGGAGGAAAGGACAAATTTGGCATCGGCCTCATCTGCCTTACCTAGGTTTATCTCATCGGAAAGATCAAAGCCCTTAGCATGAATCTCTTCGAGGGTCTCCCTTCGGGATCGGTGCCGGACATATTCATTGCTTCTTTTCTCTTGATCAGAAGCCTCCCTCAACTCCATCTGAGCATCGGTAGCATCTTTCAAATAGATGGCCACCGTCCCGTCGGCCTTGGCTTGTATTACGTTGGCCTCGGCCCTGACTTCCACAACCTCTGCCTTGGCCTTCACAAAACCAGCCTTGAGCTCGGCTATTCTGCCAGCTTGAACCAAGTTTCTCCCTTGAGCATTCCGAAGTTGAACCTCGAGGGATGATACCTTCGCCAGTGCATCATCTTTTGCCGCAACGAGGGCGTCCATCTTCGCCTTCCATTCATTGCACTCGGTTCAGACTTGATCGACCTCACCCCGGAGCTGCCCAATCATGTCTAGCTTTTACTGGAGCTGAGACATTGAAGTATTAGCCTCCGAAGACGGGAGAGGTAGCCCGTATTTTTTCAGAATAGAGGTTACCCGCTTTTCTAACTCGCTCTCGTATTCACGAGCTTCGGTCAACTCTGATCGAAGATGCTTCAGTTCTTCCTCCTTTTTGTCAAGGAGAAACTTAAGGGTCTTCTCCTCGTTTGAAGACCTACGTAATTCAACTTCACTGTGACGCAATTCGGTCTTCAATTTGTCGAAGGCCTACACAAAGGAAAAGAATGATCAATTAGACAAAGGAAGAAAAGTATGGCATTGGAGAAATATCAATACCACTAAAGACTTACAATTAAGTAGAGACGTTGAGCCTCCTCGAAGATTGAGCTCGCATCCGCGGGACCGGCCTAATCAACCCCAGCAAAGTAACCCTGGAAGGGGTTGTTTTCACTCGGGACTCCGCCGAGCTCGGACGCCTTCACATTTGGAGCATCCCTGATGGTACCCTCGAAAAATACCGGAAACGACGAAGGCAGACCTGCTGTCATGGCCTCGGGGAGATCACACAAGGCGCTCTGTTCAGGCAGAGGAGCTTCGAAGCTCGCTCCCTTTGGAGCATTTCCAGAAGTCTGAGAAGCAGTTGCCACGTCAGATGATGCTGGGCCTTCATCCCCCTTTTCTTTTAAGGTTCCTTCTTTGACACTAGGGGCCCCGATCTCAGCAGACTTGAAAGCCTTGGAAGATTTCCTGGTTCGAGTCACCAGTGTCGAGCCCTCCATCTCGTCACCGTCATTGTCCGTGAACTGGTAGGCCGAGTCAACATCCACATGGATAACGACGCTTTTCTTACGCCTCCGAGCGGGCTCTGTTTGTCTTTTAGTGTCCTCTCTCTTCGAAGACCTTTTTCACTTGTTATCCTCCTTTGGCTTCGGAGCCTAAGGCCCTACTTCCTCCCCGGAAGGGGGCAGCCTCATTTCGAAGAACTCACCTTACCTGCAACAAAGGAATCAGGTCACATGAAGAAAGACGTTCCTAATAAAGAAAGAAACATTATGACACGTACCGTGGTGTTTCGCTTCCCACTTGCCCTTCGACAAGTCCCGCCATTTGCGTTTGTCGTATGGAGAAGTAGCAACTAGTTTGTGAACCTAGTCCTCAAGGTCGACGATCGCATTAGGCATCCACGGAACCGCTGCAAAGATAGGAAATAAGTAAGTACGCGAAGATTAGCAAAAATCTACGGAAAAGAACTAAAAGAATCCCACTCACGTTCGAAATTCCATTCCTCGGGGAACGACAAGAACTCCTCGGGAATAATATCAACGGTCCTCACCCGAACGAACCGACTCATCCAACCTTGATCCTTGCCTTCGTCGTTACTGGCGAAGAAGGACTTGGTCGATCGACGTTGAAGTTTGATTAAACCCCGGAAATGTTGAGGCCGATATAATCGGATGAGGTGGCTGAGGGTGAACTCGAGCCCATCTTTTTCGGAGAAGAACCTCATTATTATTACGATGCGCCAAAAGGACGGATGAATATGGCCCAGGGTCACTTTATATCTTCGGCAAAATTCAAGCACGAGCGAGTCGAGGGGACCCAGCGTGAAGGGGTATGTATACACACTCAGGAACCCCTCTACGTAAGTCGTGATGTCCTCCCCACGAGAAGGTATTTGCAGAACGACCTTCGCTTCCCAATTACACTCTCTCCTCACATCATCGAGGTGCCCTTCCTCAATTGACCTAATGTAACTCGATGCATGCTCTCGACGGTCGGGGACGCCGGGAGGGTTCTCGACTATAAACTCTTTTTGTAAAGAAAATCTGCTCAGTACGAGCTCGTGAAGCGCTGTCGACTTACCACCGGCCGGACGGGAAGAGGAAGTGGAGTTTCCCTCTGTCTGAGGAACGGATTTGGAAGTTTTTGCAATCGGTTCATTAGAAGAAGGAGACAAAAATAAATAAGCCAGCGAGGTTTGAACCGATGCGGTGGAGGAACTGGAAGTAGAAAAGGAGACGTATAGAAGAGAATAGGTGTTACAAGATGGAAAAGTCCCTAATAAGAAGAGAAAACGAGTATATATAGAGGAAGGCGGCGACGGTTCATTAATATTGATGGCCGACCGGCTCTGATGCATATTTAATGCTTTTGGGAAAGAGAACCGACGGGACGCTTCGCTCATTTCAACGCTTACGTCATAAGAGTGATGTCATCATAAAGAACTTCGGGAATTCAAAACGTTTCATATCATTTCATTCTAAGAAACGCGGCGATTATCTGTATACGGCCGAAATCGGAGAGCTCGATTTCGAAGTCTGAATGGAACCCCGGGCTTGAGTTCGGGGTAGCACGAAGTAAAGACCAGATCTGACTGGAAAATGCATACCTCGGGGGAGAAAATCGAAGACCCGCCATGATCTGCTTCGAGGGCAGTACATTTTCGATGACACTCAAGAAAGAGCGGGAATTTCTCAAGGATATGTGGATCAGGGTATAAATTAAGGGATAAGATTTGTACGAAATGGTACAAGTCCGTACTAGGTTGTTATATAGCTGTACCAATAGAATTCTTTGTCATAATTGGAAATGTACTATATTAGGGTTTTTCCCTCCTATATAAAGGGGACCACAATATTTGTAAAAACATCTGACTCACTGCAATAGAATATTCTACTCTGCTTTTCTAGTTTACTGTGCTCCAAAATTGCTCTTCAGCTTTATTGTTTATACTTCATTGGCTCTTAGCTCACCTCGAGGTCCCCGTGATAACCGAGCTCGAGGTCCCCATTGCTCTAACAACCTTGGTTTGCTTCATCAATTCTTCCTACTTTAACTTAATATAACTTGTATATTCACTAGTATTAGAATAAAATCATATATCTGTAAAACTACAAATCATCTTTAATTGTTGCTCACGATTTTCGAGGTAAACATTATGTAAAATAGGAAGGCGAAAATAAGTCTAATTCTATTTTTTTGGATGTAAGATGGAGAAGCATTAGATGGTTTCTCGTCTCATTATCCCTTTGTCTGTAGCAAGGTTGTCATCACGATAGTTGTTTCTCCATACTTTTTTTTTTCAATACATGAGATTATTTAAACCCGTGGAAGGTGATGTTGATCACCTTCTTTTTTAATAATTTTTTTAACCCCTCGTCAAGAGCTTTCCACTTAGCTCTTTTGGTGATTCGCTCGTAACCTTAGGATTGGAGGTACAAGGTTTTCAGATTACCTAAGAAAGATCATCTCAATGTGTCATGTTCTACTTTGTTTAGTCCGTGAATTTAGTATGTACAATTAAAATAATCTATTTATCTATATCTATATCTATATCTATCTATCTATCTATATCTATTTATATTATTATAAAAGTACAAATGTTTCGTGCTAAATATTAGAGGACCAAAATATCCTTGCAATATTGATCGACTTTTATACCCTTCAAAACTAAATTATTTTTTCATATAAATAACTTCATGTTGGATAAAATTGTAAAATTAAGAAACTTACCTCATAATACTTAGGATTTTGAAACCAATTCAAATTTTATTAGAATTTTGTAATGGAACGCAATCGAACAATTTGAGCTTGCAAAAGGAATAACTTTGTGAAGTAACGAGATTGAAGAATTCGTGCTGGCAAAGGAAACTTTCCTCTAAGTCTCAATTCAATTAGGAATCGATTACATATTATACATTAATTAATTTTATATTTACGTTTTTAATCCTGTATGCCAATATTCCTTTTACAGACATTTCTCCAACTTCAAAATACGTAAGGTTCAGACATAAGAGGATAGTAGCCTAATCCTTTTTGGACAACAATATACATAGTCCAGTTATCGTTTGGTGTATGCTTGATATTTTATTCTCCGGCTTGTATAGGATTTAAATTTGTTGAATCATTGGTGTCCCTTTGGACATATCTGACAAAATTGGATCATGGTTAATTTCTTTCTTTTCTTTTTCTTATAGTTTTTTTTTTTTTTTTTTCTCAAGTAGATGAGATCTCATTCATGCTCTTTAAGCCTTTTTTGTCCTTCATGTGGGTTGATTCTGTTCTGGATTTGGAAAATAGGTTGCTACAGTTTTATCTCAACAAGTTTGCTAGAGTTCCTCGATATTCATTGCGAACTTCTCTCTGTTTGGTAAAATATGCTGTTATTATTGTTCATAAATGCTCAGTTTTCTTTACAGATTCTTCTGGGATAACATCACTAACTTATCCTTGCTTTGTCGTGAGACAACAACTTAGGAGATATTCTACGATTCTTTGTCTATTCAAAGGGTCGATCAGGTTTGGAACATGAACCATGAATTGCATATTTAGTATTTATAGTTCTTTTTTGTAATGAATTTGCTCCAATTGGTGTCTCTAACTTCTTAGATGACACAACTTAAATTTATTAGCTTATCACATGGAAGGTTACTTTTTCTATTTTTGCTCGAATTTATAACTCTACAATTGGTATATTTCCAATGATTATATTTACGATATTGCTAAAATATTTTTTTAATTACATGTGAATATTCAGGTTTCTCTGTTACTTTGATTGCACCAATGGTACTACAAGACTAAGCTTTGATCTACAGTTGGAAATTAGCCCGGAATATACAATCAAGCGACGAGTTTTCCGGTTCATCGGTGTATAATATTTCTTATGGGAATAAAATTGTAATCATCATTAATTACTACTTGAAGTTCACGATGAATAATTAAAGAGACTTACCATGTTTGCTTCTAAAACTAAAATCCTTCTAGGACTTACCATGTTTGCTTTCTTTCATAAAGACAAAAATATTACAGAAAAAAATTGAGGCAGTAAAATTATAACTTGACAATCATAAGGGTATAGTATTGTCTCAATTTCTAAAATGATGTGACGTTTTCTTACTAAAATTGTTGCTGTATTGGCATATTTTGAGAAAAGAATTGAAATATATCTATTATTTATAGTTTAGAGAAAATATTTGATTTAAACATAAAGTTAGAGGAAGAGAATATATTTCATCTTATTTTTTAATAATTAGCAAGATATACGTGCAAAGCACGTACATAGAAACTAGAATTTATATTAAAAGCACGAAGACACTTAACGAAATGTTATTCCCTTTTTTACCCTTTAAAAATGGAGTTCATACTAGACAAAATAGTCATATCAAATTATTTTCCTAATATTTAGGAATAACATTTAATTAACTGTCTAATATTTAGGAATAATTATTTAATTATTTTCCTAATTTAAGGACTTTTGTTAATAATATTTTCCATATTTGAACTAGGTATGAGTTCAAAATCAACATATTTCTACTTATAAATATGGTACTATATTTTGCATCCGATAAAAAATAAATATGCACAATCTTGACATGCACTTTCAAAGACGTATTTTTGATATTGAAAATTGTTATTAAAGTAAGACAAACAAAAGGTAATTAACTTATCAATTTCTAATTAAAATTCGAATATAATAGATAATAACATTAACCATTTGTTTGATATTAGACGTCTTTTATCACTAGCTAAGAATTTTTCTACGTCTTTTATCAATAAATAAGAGGTGAAGCTTTGTGGGGCCATGTCTTTTGTGTGGTTATAAAAGCTTCTCATTAAGGGCAAATGGGTAAAATGAGGAGTTTAAAGTTGAATTATTTCCAAATTTATGTGTCATTTATTTTGGAACAGACTAAAAAGGAAAGTACCTCATTTAATATGAAACGGAGGGAGTATATACATAGGTACACGCGCGAAGCGCGTACCCTAAGGCTAGTACTATATTAAAAGCATGAAGGCACTAAGCGAAATGTCGTTTGCCTTTTTTATCCTTTAATAGTAGAGTTTACACTGGACAAAATAGTCATTTACAATTATTTTCCTAATATTTAAGACTTTGAAATGGAATAAAATTTTGGTTGAAATATCTTTCCTTATTTAAACTAACGTCTTATATTTAGGACTTTTAAATCGATTAGGATTATAAAATCTAAAAATCCTTTCTTTAATTATGTAACATAACTGTAAGAAAAAGAGTATGGCAGTCATACGCTTCTTAATTATGGAACAAATTTAACTTTTCTTAATTATTTTACAATGCAATATTGTAGAAACTTGCATATAGTATAAACAAGTTTACTCACGCCTTTAAATTATAATTTTGGACTTTTATATATCTTATGCATTTTGAACAAAAAAAATTTAACTATAAAAATATTAATAATTTTCGAACTCTTGTATATCTTATATGTTTTGAACAATAAAAATTAATTATTAAAATATTTATAATTGATATCGTGATTGAGGAAAACCCAAAAAAAATGTGAGGGAAAAATTAACTGAAAGCTTGAGCAAAATGCTCTAGCCTTTAAATTACTTAGGTGCGTGGTAAGCATCAAGAGCTCTATTGAGTATTTCAAGCAAATTTTAATTGATTTTAATGTCCTAAAAAGTATTATTTGAGATTATTATTGAACGATGTCAGATAATTTTTTTCGTCTGAATACTTACTAATGGGTGAAAAATAATTAATTTTTTAATAATTAAGACTTTAAAATCAATTAAATTTTATCTATTAGACTTTTCTTATTTGAGGTATCAAATCATAATATATATATATATATATATATATATATATATAAGATTTTAAAATTAATTAATATAAAATATGTACTTATTTGCCTATGTAGCATAAATATAATTCTTATAAAATCCTTTGCACTGTGTTGACTTGACTATGCGTTGACGAATCATACTCAAATTAAATACCAGACGAACATAATACTTTCATCTTTCATAATTTCTATCCCTTTTGTAGATGTTTATGAATTTTTTCCCAGCATAAATTTTTTTTTAATTTTTTTGAGTATTAATGTGAATAACAAATCAAAATTACAGATGTAGGTAAATACATTGGAAAAATATTTCCAACGGGACAAGAAAGATNATGACTAATTTCTCTTGAATTATTTAATTGAAAGTACTCAAATTCTTAATTATTTTAAGCTTCTTCCGAAATATTAGAGAAAGGGCCATGAAAGATATTATAGTTATGTTGTATGGTTTAAATAAGGATTTTTTTATATAAAGTGAAAATTTAATTAATTTTAAAATTCTAAATATTAGGACTTTTAAATCAACAATATTTTATTTATTTGAACTATGGTATAAATCCTAATATTTAAAACTTAAAATCATGTTACATCTTACCTTATTTAATTATTTCCTTTGATTATGATATAACTACAAATTTAGAGACAAGTATGAGTAGTAATAGTAAGATTGTTCTTGTGACAAAGCTATCCAAGGCCATATATCAACATCATTCGTAAATTAATTGCGATAATATCATTTGAAGTAGAGTCCAAACTTGTATGAATTTTTTTGGGGGGTTTAAAGTTAACTAATACAAAGAGAATTTTAGATACAAATTCCATTTAAATAATAATACTGCATAGCTGAATGATTGGAATAGACTTCCAATTAAGGCTATGTGGAACAATATATCTTTCGTTATTGAGTTAGCAAAATGGAATGAACATTCATTATTTTTAAGAATTCACACTATTTTCTTTAAATTCTATTTTATGACACAAAACTCAAAATTTTTAATAATATTTATGTGGGTTTTTAAAATCTTTTACTTAGCGCCACAAGGTACACGCGCAACGCGCGTACCACAAGACTAGTTATATTAAAAGTGGGAAGCCTTTAATTAAAAAGTTGAATTACTAAAATACCCTTCTTAAAAACTTAAATATCCTACTTGAGGCTTGAGTTGGCCGTGGAAGTTCGAGGTAAGTGTTCGGTCTAACCTTAGCTTGAGGGATTAGGAGTTATGTCCTATTTGCTATTTGCTTCTTATTGAGTACGACGTATAGGCATGGTGACGAGTGTCTATACGTTGGTGTCGAGCATGACCGTGAGTCTTAATTGCAATTTGTTGTGTTCTTAAATGATACTACGGATGCTTTAATTGAGGGTTCTCGATATTGAGCAAGGATTAAGTTTGTTTTCGTGGAAACTACTTATGATTGAGTATTGGTGTTAGCTGAGATGAGTAGAAGTTGAGTTAAGATTGGTTATAGCTGATTCTCCCTTGCCGGGACGTATTTACTCTCACTATCGAATCCCTTGCCGTGATAGTGTAGTTTATTGTTGATCCCTTGCCGGGACTCTTGGTATGGTTGTTGCTAAAAGTATATAGATATATGGATCGGGTTGCACGCCGCAACAATACTAAATATGGGTCGGGTTGCACGCCGCAACAATGTTATATTGGATCGGGTTGCACGCCACAACAAGGTTATATTAGATCGGGTTGCACGCCACAACAGTGATATAAATGGATCGGGTTGCACGCCGCAACAGTGTTAAATGATAAGGGATCGGGTTGCGCGCTGCAACAGTATTATCAATGTTTTGTTGTAGATTTTGAGTTGTTCTCTCATATTTCTCTTGAGTTCCTGCTGGACTTGGTATTTTCCCCGCAGCATGTACCCCCTCCCATCTTTATTTGTTCATTTCTGTTTTATTTTCCGCTGTATATTATATAACTACACAGGTTTATCTGGAGTCTGGTCCTAGCCTCGTCACTACTTCGCCGGGGTTAGGCCAGGCACTTACCAGCACATGTGGTTGGTTGTGCTGATACTACACTCTCCACTATGTGCAGATCTCGGAGCAGCTTTTGGACAGTAGCACTTGGGAAGGCTGCCTTCAGTCTAGATAGAGATCCCAAGGTAGTCCTGCAGGCATCCGCAGGCCCGACGTTCTCTTCTATCTTATTATGTGTTCTGTTTTCACTTGTTTCCAAGACAGACTGTATTTCCTTTTCAGACACTTGTATGTAGTACTCATAGACAGTCCGTGATATTGTGACACCAGATTCCGGGTAGAGGAGTATATTGGCATTGTAGGATTGGCTTTGATTATCTTTATCTGTCTAAGTCTTCCGCTTGTTCTCTTCACCGTTAATATTTAAATGTTGATTACTTGTTAATTCAGATTGTTGAAAAGGGTTAAAATGAGAGAGTTAGTGATTTCTATATTTCGCGGCTTGCCTAGCTTCTACGAGTAGGCGCCATCACGACTCCCGAGGATGGAAAATTCGGGTCGTGACAAGTTGGTATCAGAGCTCTAGGTTACATAGGTCTCACATTCACGGACAAGCTTAGTAGAGTCTAAGGGATCGGTACGGAGACGTCTGTATTTATCCCCCAGAGGCTACAGAGTCAGGAAACACTTCACATTTATTCCTTCTTGTCGTGCGGTTTGGTTTCTCAATGCTAATTGAATTTCTACTTTGTTCTTTCGCAGATGGCAAGAACACGCGCTTCCTCATCCACCGATCAGCAGCCCGAGCCCCCAGCAGCAGCTCCCACGAGGGGCAGAGGGCGAGGCCGTGCTAGAGGCCGAGGCAGGGGCAGAGCTCAGCCCAGAGCAGCAGCACCAGCGGCGGAGCCTCAGGTTGACTTTGATGATGAGGTTCCTGCCCAGGCAGTTCCGGTGGGCCCAGCTCAGGTCCCAGAGGGGTTTATTGCTACCCCGATACTCCAGGATGCTCTAGTCCGTCTAGTGGGCCTTATGGAGAGTGTCACCCGGGCAGGCTTGCTTCCTGTAGCACCAGCCGTCTCTCAGGCTGGAGGAGGAGCCCAGACTCCTGCTACTCGCACTCCGAAGCAGATAGCTCCCCAGTTTCAGACTCCAGCGGTTCAGCTAGTTGGAGCAGTTCAACCGGGTGTGGTAGCTCAGATCGAAGATGGAGCAGCTATGTCTGCCGATGCTTTGTGGAGGTTGGACAGGTTCACCAA